ATCAGAGAAGGCTTCATAAAGATGTTCCCTGAGCTGAGTCAAGAAGAAAGGAAGGATGAGTAGAACAAAGGAAGGATGTTAGTAGAGGCAGGGACTGAATTCTGTCTCATTTTGGAGATAGTAGAGGGCAGCATTTAGTAGGTAGTGAAGTTCTCTAGAACAGAGAGCCTTAAAAGCAAGTAGAGGAACTTTGTTTCATGTGTGCTGCAAGGACTTGAGGCTGTGGCGCATTTTCCAAATGGAAGTAGGCTTGTCAGTAATAAACAAGTGGCTCATTCTTATTTCAGGTAAAATGGAGTAACAGTTTTGGGTATGTTATACATAGATGACCATGTATTTTGGTGCAAAGATCCCCCCACCCTCAGCTGTATGTATTGTGTACAGACTTCTGGTCTTAAGACACCCCAAAGTAGCTTAAGACCTCAAGGTATTTACTGTATTTAAAAAAATTAAATAGATATTAATGCCACGTTTGAAGAAAGTAGGAATAAGATGATAGGAATTATAAAGAAGTTTAGAACTGAATTATGAAGAAGTTTAGGACTGTAGTCTAGCTTGTACCTTCGCCTGCCTTCTGTCTTCCATCCCATGGCTCAATTAAAAGACATTTCAGAAAGAAAAAAAAAAGACTCAGTTACTCCTTCCATTTCATGTTCAAAACATACACGGCTCTGTTTTGCTTACTTTAATTTTCATTATTAATGTGAGAAACTGAATACGTTTTCAAGTTATCATTGAGAGCACCAAAGATACACAAGGTGCTAATATGTACAAAAATCCAGTTGGTGTTTGGTTTGTCTCTTGTTATGGATTATCAGCAATGGTGGTGACATCGTGAAATAAGCTGTAATAAAAGATGTTTGGCTTTTAGATGCCATCTTTTAACAGAACTATGTAACTATAAACAGAACTGTTTATAGACAGTGATTATAACTGGTAGGAAAAGTTTCTCTGATGCTTCTAGAGTACATAAATTAGAGTGATTTCAGTTCAAAGAGAATTCAGTAAGGGGTTCTTTTCAATACAAAGCTTTATCATTTATGAAGTCATTTTGAAAGAATGACTCAATTTTTTTGTATATAAAACTTCAGGAGTAACTTTTGTAGATATCCTAGAATTACCGTGTTATTCATAGATGCGGGGTTAAATTATGAAGTTAAAATGGGAATTGCCTAAGTCACAATTTTTTCCTCTGACTTGATTTCTTTTATGTTATAGTCTTCATTTTGTGTCTGGATATTGAAATAGAAATAACATACTGGTGTTCTCAGTAAAAACTGTACTTAGATTTTAATTATACAAAATCATAATTACATGTTCTATTAATATCTGTTTATGCAGAATTGCAATCAACTCAATCTCATCATTTATTTAAATCCTTTATTTAGATCATTTATTTAAAAGTGTTGTCACTTTAATCTCAAAATTAATTTAAAACTGGAAACCTTGAGGAATGGCTGGTTCAGATCAGCATTAAACTTGTAAACTGGTTTTTCCTAGAAAAGGGTGATTAAAATTGGTTCAGGGTGGGGTCTTCTAGTTCTGGTTCTAGTGATTGGGTTTGTAGGGTTCTGGTGCAGTGATAATGGTAAACTTTTTGTACCAGATAGGGCAAGAGACTTTGCTTCTAAGAATATGATCTTGCTTCTTGGCTCTGGTCGTTAAAGCTTGGGGATTAAATTTTTGTTGTTGTTAATAGGTTTTGATAGGAGACTTTTCTAATGCCAGCTTATGTAACATCTTTTATTTTATAGTCTGTGTATATCTCAGTTTGCTTTGTGACATGTGCATGTTAAATGCTCTGTTAAGTGTACTTGTAGTGTAGGAAAAGCCTTAAAATAGTATGAAATAAATGACCATTTTATATATCTCAACATAATATCGCTTTAAAACATTTAGAGGCACTCAAATCAAATTAATTAGAAAATCTGGATTTCACTAAATACCAGTGCTTTAACTTAACATAGAACTCTGTTGGTTATAGAAGTGTTTTTCACCTTTAAAATGGGTGTTAAGTTGCCTGGCTGGCTCAGTTGGTAGAGCATGTGACTCTTGATCTCTGGGTTGTAAGTTCAAGCCCCATGTTGGGTGTAGAGATTATTTGAAAATAAAAAAATCTTTTAGCAGTGCCTGGGTGGCTCAGTTGGTTGAGCATCCAACTCTTGATTTCGGTTCAGGCCTTGATCCCAGGGTCGTGGGATTGAGCCCTGTGTCTCTGTGCTGAGTGTGGAGCCTGCTTGGGATTCTCTCTGTCTTCCCTCTGCACCTTCCCCTGTTTGGGATTCTCTCTCTCCCTCTCTTCCCTCTATCCCTCCCCCACTCTCTTTCTTTTCTCTTTCTCTCAAATAAAAAAATTTTTAAATCTTTAAAAACTAATAAAATGGCTGTCATTTATTTATTTTTAAATTTATTTTATTTATGGATAGTTGACATACAATATATAGTTTTAGGTACACAACATAGTGATTTGAAGGTTAAGATTAATTTCTTAAATTTCTGGAGATGAGAACAGAGTTTTTATAACTCAGTAACCCATTGAACTTCAGTTTTTGGATTATCAGTTTTCAGCCTTGAACAAGACACTGAACATCTCAGATGGTTGACTTCTTTGTGTGTAAAACAGCATGGTGTGTTTTTCTTTTGTCTATTCGTTTTGCATCAGAGATCTATCAAATCATTTGTAAGAACTGTTCCTTTAATCAGAAGGATCATGTTTTCTCTCCTTTTATATTGAAGATGGTTTGTTACAGGTCTTTTTAGCATGGCCAGTCTTGACTTAATTTTACTTTGGGTTTTTTTT